TTAATTAAATCAGTCAGTTTGTTGTTCTCTTCATTTGCATATGATTCTAAAGATTTAATATTCTCATCCTTAGAGATTATCTGAATGACATGTAAATTGCCTTCCAAAAACGATGTTCTATCTTCTAGCTTGTCATTAGTCTCAGACATGGAACAAATTTTTCTATTAGCTGGTCAGTTTTATGTTCCATATTTTGCATTCTGTTTGTCAAATCACCATTCCATTATCAATGTTCTCAATCCTTTTTTCTTTTTTGAATATTATTTTTTTTATTTTAGAAGCACACATATTTACATATCCATCTCCCCATTCCCTCGCCCTCAAATCCTCCCATGCTCCTCACCAACCCTCTTTCCACTCCCTTCCCAGGGATAGTGAGGCCCTCCATGGGGGACCCTCAAAGTTATAGTAACACCAGAGGTTACCTTACATTGTTTTTTGTTTACCACAGTTTCTTTCATTGTAGCAGATCCGTTACACGTAAATGCTCTCCAGCCAGTCTCCTCCCAACTTAAACCATCCAATAAACACTTCAACTCCCTTTGGCAGTGTTGCTCACCCTTCTTTCAGAGACATCCTGGCAGTTTGTACCTCAACAGAAACTTTCCCAATAATAAAATTTCATATGGCTGTACATGTGTTATCAACAAAGGGCTTAAGTGTTTGGTAAAAAAAAAAATGTTTTTAATAAGAATGAGTCAAAATTGCTCAATATATCAAAGACACAGTCTAGGCAATAAAAAGTTAAACAATAACTGACCATAAAAATTTATTAACCTGATGTAAAAATTGGCAGGTAGCCTTGGATGATTTGTGCTGTGGTTAGCCTTGAATGATTTTCTGATTTATTGCTTTGGTTATTTTTGGATAATTTGTGTATTATTGTGCCTAGGAACACTAATGCTATTTGTTCTATATGGGTCTGCTTCACTTACACATGCCCAGAGAAAATATTTTTTATTCTGTATAAAATGCCTTGCTTTAGAGTTTCAAAATGCACTCATACTCAAACTGCCTCTGTGTTTGTTTCTGGTTGGCACTGCCAAATCCTTACCCACCTAGTCTTCAAGGACCTTCAGCCCAGGGACCCCCATACCAGGCTTGCGTGGTCTGTGGCACAGATCCAGTGATCTCACACTCCTGTAAAAATACACACATGCAGTTATAAGAGCAATGTTCCCAAAATTATCTTTGTCCTAATTCCACAATCTTACTTACAGATTAAATTAATTAGTTAATCTGACTTTTCTGGTAGGGTTAAAGACCTTGAGATGGAGAGATTTTTCTGAATCAAGTAGGTGGTCTAACCTACAGTTGAGACAAAAGTAAATTTTTGTGCAGTAAGGTCTCTTCTGAACCTCTGGCCTTCAGAACTATAACAGAGATTTATGTTGTTATTTTTCTATGTCTACTTGTATATTTTTAAGATTTATTTCTTCATTTTTCATGTATGTGAATATTTACATGCATGCATGCATGTATGTGCACCATTTGCATTTCTGGTGCCTGCAGAGGTCTGAAGATAGCATTGGATCCCCTAGAATTTTATTTAAGGATTGTTGGGAACACCTTGGGGTGTTGGGAACCACGTGTGGGTCCTCTGCAAGAGCAGCTGTGTTCTTAGCTGCTGAATTATGTCTCTAGTCCCTCAGTGAGATTTTGGTTTAACTGACAGACTAA